AACATATTTTAAGCCTGACTAACACCTACTTGTCCTTAGGGCTCAGCTTAAATGTCAATTTCCCCTGAGTCTGGCTTCCCTATATGTTCTTATGGCCCTGACCACATGTGTTGTGGTATAAGGGGCATTTGTACAATCATTTGTTTATATTCTGTCTACATCCAGTCTAGAATCTCTGTAAGGACAGGGACTTTGTTTTTCCTTTTTCTTTGCTGAAGCTTCACTGCCTGGCAAATGGTAGCTCCTCATAGATATTTCTAGAATGAATAATGAATGATCATTTTAAAAAGCAACTTGCAATTGTTCGCAGCTTGAGGATCTTGATGATTAAAATTAGGGCTTACAGTATGTCAGGGCAAAAGTAAACTCAGAGGGAAATCATGTCCTACTTGAAGATTTTCTTTGTTGACCGGCTGCTCAGATAACTTTCCTGATTCAGAGAAGAAGGAAAGTTGGGTTCTGTCATTGAGCTACTTTATTCTTGTTTTAGCCAAGAGAAGCTGACTTCAGAAATTCCCAGGGAAGCAGCTGACCAGGAAGATTCCTCACCTTGTGACTCTCAGCTAGAGGAAGGAGGCGATAGGGGCTATCAGGTGGACTTTATTCTATGATCTTCTGTGAATAGGCTGGGGAGGAAGGTGGTGGATGGCGTGATTTTGTAACATGCTACTTTAGAAAAGACAGTACAGACGGCTTGCATGAGTTCTTCTGCCTTATGTTGGTTTTTCTTGGATTGTATTATGATTTATACATACGTGGGCTGCTTGTGGTAGTAGAAATTCATATGCATTGTTCTTTTATTTGATTAACATTGGTACTCCCCTTGCATACTTTTTTTCCCTTAAACTCTAAATTTTTATGGTCCTATTTTCTGGCAGTATCTCCTTAATCAGCCCCTTCAATTCTACTTGTCATAGGAAAAAAAAATGGAAAAGGCAAAGTTCAGAGAAGATCGAACATGCCTCATTAACACTGACGGGGACATCATAAGAGCAAGGCAGAGAGGCAAGGGCTCATTTCCCCATTGTTCTAGAGAAACACATTGGACTTGGTTGGGTATGGCAGAATGTCTGCTCATTACTTAGAGTTATACAGCCCTTCCATCACAGTCAGAATCTGTATTAACGAGAGTAAGGGTGGTTAAACTATTTGTAAATTTCCACTGCATATTCACCATTGGTGATTAAATCATGATCAGCCTCCAGAATGTTTAATGGTCCTCTCTCAAGGATGTAATTAACCAATTCTTATTTGGTATGAAAGATAGGAATGGGAATCCTAGTACGACACCATGCTCCCAACAAGAAGAAATCCCATACTAACAAACTCTCTTGTGGCTAAGAAATGAAATAACATCATTAAACACAATATTTTAGAATTTGAATGAGTACATTTTTTCTCTGTTGCTAAGACCATATGAAAAAATAGTTGGGAATAGGAACAAATGTTACAGTGTGACTTTTCTTTTTATTTTTCTACTAGGTGAACTCCTATTCATTCCTCAAAACCAAGCTCAAGCAGTGCTTTAGCTATGAAATTTTTCCTAATCTTTCTGGGAGAATTAATCATATTTTCTGCTCTACAGCCGCTGTAACATTCACACTTCTATTACTGGGAGAAGAGGTGCCTCTCCTGGTGTGTGAGGGTTGATGATAGGTTCTTGGGTTCACATTTGAAATGAAGTCACAAACAGACACACAAAGAAACTGGATAAGAAAATAGCTTTATTAAACTAAGAAGAGAGTACACCCAAGAAAGGGGAATGGGCAGAAAGAGCCTACAGAAAGCTGCTTTTTCTGCCACCAACTATTATTGAGTTACAACTTTTATTCTTAGGGATATTGAGCAGTGGGTTTGGGGTGGATTTTTTTCTAGAATGGGTGGTCTTAGAGCTGAGTCTCTGTTACTCCACACTCATGACAGGTAGGGGACTTTGCAGGCCATATAGGGTCATACCAGTATTATCATGGTGTCAGATATATGATGGGAGTGGGAGCTCCTCTAGGGTAATTTTATGTTAATAGCATTACAATGAAGGTTTATGGTTATCTTAGGTCAAACTTGGCTATTGATGCACATGCTCCAGGGGTCTCTAACTAAGCTAGTTCCTGCCTTGGTTGTCAACTCTTGACCACTGCAAGCATCCTAGCAGGCACATCTGACAAGAGGTAGTTGTGAGGTTTCCTGTAGCTAGGCCTCTGCATGTATGATGGTTTTACACCAGCTGCTGCAGGTGTTGTTGAATTTAGAACTTTTCTATGGCCCTGAAGCTTTTCCTAGTCTAACCTGTTTCTTCTATCACTTCCATTATTGTATATGTTGTACTCTCTTTTTGTTTATGTACCTATCTTCTACTTTATATTACATGAGTTTTAAGGAAAGGATCTGTTTTATGTTTGATTATCTTCCTGGTACCTGACATAGCCCTTGTTGTACACAAGAAACTCAGTAAATATTTGTTAATATGAGACAGAATTAATAATATTTAAAAGAGAAGTATACATTTAAAAAATTCTGTGGACCACTGCTAAAGTGTTCATGTGTGAGACCAGTTACACACTCAAGTTCCACATATTCAGTTGCATGAATGGAGTTTTAAATATTTGCCATCTTCTATACCCTCTGCTTAATTTTAGTCATAGCTCTCTTCCAAGGCCTTATACCTCTCATCCTTGGCTCTTGAATATGCTTATCAAAGAATATTCAGACGTTGTTCTCGTTTTTTCCTTCTGGTAGACTTCAAGGTTTTGGCAGTCCTATCAAATTATGTCTGTAACTTGCCTCTTCCAAAACCATCATTGAGAAGTCCTAATCCTTGGAGGAATGTCAGCTGCCCAAAGGATCTGAAGAAAGGCTACAGATCAAAAAGTAAATTCTGCAAAAGCTTATTTTAGGAAAGTGGGAAAGTGATCTGCTTTGTTTTGTTGGTCCTCTCTACTAGATACTGTCAAGAGGATACTTTATTACAAATGGTTGCTCAAAATAAATCTCCTGTAAAGCCAATGATTACATCAGGAGGTGGAAGTTGGGAGAGAGATGTGTTTATGTGCTCCTCTTGGTGCTCTTACTACCGAGGGGAGACTCCTTGCAAAGAGAAGACACTCTGACGGATCCAGTCCTGTAAATGTAACAACTAGGGCGATAAATGTAGGTTTGTGGTTGTTCACCCATCAGACACTTCACCATCTTATGTTGTGTGTAGTAACTGCCAGCATTTCATCCAATGTGGCGCAAAGCTGTAGACTTCTTGCAGGTTACTCTGTCCCTCTATCCCTAGATTTTGCAACTTTAAAATGGCAATAATAAAAGTCCCCTCCTATCTCACTGAATTGCTTTCAGGCTTGAATGAGATCATGCATGAGAAGTATTAATGTTTAGCATACATAAAGTACACAATAAGAACTGATTGGTAAGAGTGATGGTGGTCCTCTGCTTTCTTTCTTTTTTGACTATAGCTATTATACCTCCTCTTCCTTTTCTTTTCTTCCTTCTCTTCCTTTTTCATCTACTCTATGTAGCCTTTTTATACAGATACTATTTTAAAAATAATAGTCTTAATGTAAAAGTAGTCTGACTAGAAAACAAACTCTATAGTGGTTCATAAATATGGAGAGGAAGAGGAAAAAGACAGAAAATCTTATCCACCCTTTAGGACTATCATCAACTAGGACAATATCCCGAGTCAAGCCTGGTTGACTAATCAGTTTCCAGAAAACTTGTTTATTAGTGGGTTACTATACCAGTGCAGATATTTAAATATATCTATTATGTATAATACACACATATTGTTTGTATTGGCTTTACATATTTTAAGCTTTTGGGATTAAGATTGTAGGCATGGTTAAAAATAACCTATACTTTTCAGAAAATAAAATTAAATTTGGAGTGATTACAAGTGACAAAAGTGTACACATATTAATGTTCAAGATCTTATAAAACAAAAAATATTGTAGATAAGAAACAACTCCAAATGCTGTGACTCTCACAATTGCTTCCAGCGGTGTGCAGAAAATTCTCTCTGGCCATTATCAGAAAGATTACAGATTATTTCTGTCTTTCCTCGAACCTAAGTTATTAAAGTTTAAAATCTATTTGAGAACTTTTTGAAGGGTCAGTATGAATTAGCCCTTCTCTCTGGTTAGTCTCCACGGTTCTTCCTGACAAGGAAACAATAGCACTTCGAGCACACAAACCCTGGAAGTGTCTGGGGATAGAACAGCAATGTTGTTTCCATATCTGGCCAACCCAATCACTGCCTTCATGAACTGTCAGTTACATTCCCACCCACCACACCCTGACCCAAGGGTCTCTTTTCAGGTCAGGAAAGCACACATGGTTTTGGAAGACCAGAAGCAAAGGTGAAAAAAGCAGAGAAGCAAAGGCAAAACAAGCCAGACCAGGAGATCCTTTCCAAACTCTTCCCTCTTCACATAAGAGCTGTCCTGTTTCCTTGTTTGTTTTTATACACTATTGTTTGCCCCACAGGCATCAAGCTGTTAGTGTGTACAGGAGGGATTAAAGTGAGACTGCATGTCGGATGAAATATAAATTAAAATTATACTTCTGTCAGTTTGGAATCAGGGATTGTTTCTCAAGGTCTCCCCAAACACTTAATTTCAAATGAGTCTTCATTTATTACTTCAAGAAAGGCCAAATGCATAATTTATCAGCCGCTTTCAGTCAATATACCCTTATAAGCATGTTTCCCATGAGCCTTTGAGTAAAAATATGTTATGCTAATTCTATTAGTTGGGTACACACGGGCTGTCTAAGAAAGTAAACAAGCATTAAGAGGAGACACATGTGAACAAAGAAATACCTGTCAACCTACTGTCCGGGGTCAAATTACCAAGGGAACGAGTTGGTAAACTTGTCTCATTATCTATGCCCAGAATGTCTCTCCCACTAGAACTCTGAGACGCCCCGTGGCTCTGTGCGGTGACTCAGGGGTAGGGTGACCCCTGAGTATGACTCTAGGTGAGTTGGGAATGGGGACTTACCGGGTTTCCAGTGGCACGTTGCTGTTTAGCACCCAGCTGTCCTGAAGCTGAACAGACTCCGGCGTGGTGGCCAGGTCGTTAGGTGCTGGAGCCGGGGCGTGGATCTGACTCCGCCGATTGGTCAGTGAGTTCCTGTTGAGCGAGTTGGCAGACGAGTGGTGATGGGACAGCGTGTGGTTGTGAGGGGGTGGGAGCGGGGGCCTCAGTGTCGACTGGCTGTGGTGGTTTGGAGGGCCTGAAAAAGAGAGGAAGGTGAAACCACTGTTAGCAACTGAAGAGTCCAGGCTCAGGCTCTGCAAACCTCCAGGGAGTACAGAACCAAAGTCTCTCTGCTGACAATCGCTGAAAGCCACAAGCTAGAGAGGCAGAGGAGACTGCAGAAGGCATCCCAGAGGTAGTCACAAGTAAATAGTGCGCTTTGATTTGCATTTATCCACATGCATCAAATGAAGAATAACAAGAAACTAGTTTAGCAAAACCAGATTGATGAGGGCTGGTCAGAGGGATTATTGGAAACATTCCAATACAGCCATGAAAGCAAAATGACATTCAAGGCTGAACACTGTTGTAACAAGTCCCTGTTCCCTTTCCTGATAAACCCGTACACTGCACACATTCTTTAAAAGATATTTCGTCTTTTAGAGATAATAAGAATATGATATATTCTAAGTCAGAAGGTGGCAAATTTGGATACCTCTAGGGGTCAGGCAGGAGGATTGGATGGGCCAGCTGTGTACTGAGCTGAACTGGAGAAGACAGAAGCACCTCTGACTAAGCACCTGGCCAATTCGGCCATGTGGGAATGAAGGAGGGCTTGAGGCAACCGTGTCTTCTAGTTTTTCTAGAAGAGTTGAAGATCTGGACTTTCAGATAAAATTTTGGGTTTTTTAAAATGGTTTTTAATTAATTAATTAAAAAGAAATAGAGACAGGGGTTTTGCTATGTTACCCAGGCTGGTCTTGAACTCCTGGGCTCAAGCAACCTTCCTACTTTGGCCTCCTAGAGTGCTGGGAATACAGACATGAGCCACTGTGCCCAGCCTTTCTACAATGTTGACAAACAAAATAAAATCTGTATGTCTGTGTATGTGTACACAAAAACATGTTTGTATATATATGCATGTGTGTGTATATATATTATATTATATATATGCAATTTTTAAAAAAATGAGAGTCAGCAAAACACACCTGTGAGCCCAATCAGCAGGTTGCTAACTTCTCTCCTCTGAGAGGTAAACCCCGAGGATTCATCTCTAGAGAAGGTCAGGGCAGATGTTTTCAAACCATGACCCTTACTCCAAATTGCATTCTACTTTTTATATATGTATAAAGAACAAAATCCTCTATCCTTTCAGGAAAAACGAACAAAGGAGAACCCTCCCTCAATAAATATCCCCTAGTAAATATCACTATCTATGACAACTCCACACAAGGTTTTCCTAGCAACCGATTCTCAATCTACAAAATGAAATATTTTAAGCATAATGAAACTGAACGTGGTTCACTATGCGATGTAAGCCTATAATTTTGCCTTAATGGATGCTGAAACATGACTTTTAATTTGTGTCCTTTGAGAAAGTTGTATTTTTTTGAAGCTTCCAGGCAAGGTTGGCAGCACACCAGGTGACTGCTGAGCGTGTCATTCTTGCCCCTGCCAACTTTTAAAATCCTCAGCCCCTGCTGTCCTGGCTTTAAGAAGTTGGCTCAAGTCATTTAAACAAGCAATTTGACACAAATTTCAACTACTTGTCTCCTTATGTGGCCAGGCTACATCTCCAAAAGGTGTAATCTACCTTCTAGGGTTCCTGTGAAGGCTGCAGAAACATTCCAAGGAAAAGACAACATGTCAAGAAGATACTAGGTTTGGAGAACATCATGACTAACAAAAACAAGAAGGAAAAATATGGAGGAAATCTCTGGGTTGAAATTACTTGGGAGTTTTTTTTTTTTTTTGATATTCAGAAAAGGACAACTAAAACTAAAACCCAGTGGGAAACAGCGCTGTACAGTTGTATAGATTTTAAATCGTGTCCTCCAAATGAACCTGCAATTCCTATTGTACATTATGCATCAGTGACATTTTAAATATATCTTTGGGGGAGTTTCATAGCTGCAGCCGGCTATTATATTTTCTGGCATTGTTGTCTATCTGGTAATGTATTATTACACAGTTATTTAGCATTTGTCTGTCTCATATTAGTGGGAAGAGGTGGGAAGGGGGTGAAATGATGTAATAATGATCTTTCAGAGATGCTATCCAAGCCCCTCACACACGGTTAATGAAAGGCTTGAGACTTTCTTTCCCCGCTCTCAACTACCATCCAAGTGGTGTCATTATTCCCCATTAGTTAGGCAGTTACGAGACTTGCCTCAGGAAGATGAGGTGAGTCAGTATGCAAGTGAGAACCTGCCCTTCCCGGCCCCAAGTCCCAACTTTCCATCTTCCTCTGCCTTGGGCCTCCCACCCTCAGCTCTCCAGACCACACACCCTTCCAAAGTACAAAGAGGCCATGGAAAGGACCCAGTTCCCTAAGTGAGATACCAGGCCCTCCTGCTTCCTGTCTATTCACCATGAACTGAGTTCTCCTTGTCTGCTCCAGCTGGGTGGTCCTTTTTCTGTCCATCTGTGTTCTGCATGGGCAGAATTCCTGCGGTTGCTTGTGCTGATAATATTCAGGGGTGGTGCCCTGGGGGAAGAGAAGTACCGACTTGGGTGCTGTGTGCTATGTCCCCCCCAAAAAACAGACTGTGAGTTTACCAGTTAACTGGAGAGAGGTCAAGTTCTGTTTCCATTTCTCCTAAAGAGAAGGCCTACAGCTTTCTGGGGGAAATGGAAAAAGAAGAATGAGGGAAGATGAACAGTAGTTAATTCTGCACTTCTATAAAGCAAAGTGCTGTTTCATTGCAAATGAATCAAATTATCAATGGCAACAAAAAAATTATCCAGCATCCTCAGTATTAGAAGACATTCTCCTCATTTCTGTTGCTCCTTTCCATTGTGGCCTTGATGCTCTTTGCTCATTTATCCATCCATCCAACCCATATGTTTCAACAAGGTGCGGGAGACAGAAGGAAGAGACACTGACAGTACAGAGTGGCAAATGCCCCCACTGGGAGATACACAGAGTGATGTGAGAACTTCTAGGAAGGGCCTTCAGCTGGAGGTTAGGAGATAAAATCCTATAGAACCGGGTCCAAGGACTGAATCTGCCGCTTTCTAGTTGTGTGAACCTGTGCATGCTACCTCAGTTCTTTAATTCTCAGCTTACTCATCTGCCAAATGGTGAAAACAGCAGTAACAACCCGTTAAGGTGGCTGTGAAAGTTAGAGAGGAAGGACTAATGTAAAGTGCTAACCACGCTGCCCGATGGCTGGCAAGTTCCCAAACACCATGTGCGGAGAACACTGCTTGGTTCTTCCAGGGATTAAAGGATGAATAAGACATAACTACAGCTCTCAGGGAGCCCAGATTTGAGCAGCAAAACTAAATCCAAACTTCATCTCTCTAGGACAGAAGTCGCAGACTGATGGCCCTCAAGCTGAATATTACCAAAAATTTGAAGTGAAGATTTTGTCTAGTGTTCTGGATTTCTGACTTCTCTTGAAGACAAAATCAAAACCCAAACACAGAGTCTGTATTCCCTTACAAAAACTGGATACAGCCTACAACAACTAGAATGCTGTTGGGTAGTTTATCTGGTTTGCCATGAACCCTAACATCTTGTTCTCTTAATCTGGCTGTTTGTATTCATGTTACTGAGTTTTTTTTTTTTTTTAATTGAAGTAGGGTCTTACTCTGTTGCCCAGACTGGAATATGGTGACATAATCATGGCTCACTGCAGCCTCAAAACTCTGGGTTCAAGTGATGCTCCAATCTCAGCATCCCAAGTAGCTGGGACTATAGGTGCAAGCCACCATGCCTTGATTTTTTTTGTAAAGAAGAGCTCTCATTATGCTGCCGAGGCTGATCTTGAACTCTTGGGCTCAAGCTATCCTCTTGCCTCAGCCTCCCAAAGTGCTGGGATTACAGGCACAAGCCACCATGTCTGGCTATGTTACTGAATGTTCACATTATTTTTTGACTCTTACTTTAACTGAGGGTACCCTGGTATTAAGTGTGGGTACCTCTAACATGAAACACCTCTGCTATATGATCTCAAGCACTTTCCACGTTTATCAGTTTTTATTATAGCCATCCAACGTTCTTACTGGTTAAGAAGGTTTTCTATTTCAAAAATGCAATCAATGGCTGACAGCATGCCTTCTTATTTTCCAAAAAAGCCAAAATGCACAAAAAGACCTTCTCCAAAGCAATGGATGTCTTCAACTACTGTGAAACAGAAATGAATAACTTATTTTGATGAAGGAAACCTAATGACCACTCTAAGTTCCACACATTTATTGCGTTTAATTAATGTGCATATTAAGAGCTCTTCTAGTACATAAATATGAAATCACATAATACAATTTAACCACAAATAACTATGTATCAATGTAATAAGCATGCTATTAGTAGGCAAAAGGCAACTGCCATTAAAATATTATAGTGTACCTGATGTATCATAAGTTGGGGACCTGAAATTTATTTTTAGATACTGCATGACTTTTAGTTCTAGGAAGAAGGAGCTATTTTAAGTAAGGCTTCTTGAAAATAATAAGTTAATTTATAATGAAGGTGTTTCCTGTATACTTAAAAATTCAGTGCTTGAACAAGTACTACTGTTTGTTCTGCTGCAGAGTGGTCTTGCTTCTGTGTTTTTAGATCTTCTGTGGGACAGTTGCGGCCATTTGATTTTGACAGGCGTGGCATTCGCATATTTTGTCCTTTCTAACTGTCTCTTGGTTGACAATGAAACTTAAGCCAAAGAAAGCTGCTTCTTTGTGGAGTAGCAATGTCAATTCCAACAAAGTCAGATGTGGGAACTGTAAAACCTTGGAGTCTCAACTCTCGTGTTGATTCCATTAAAGTTGCTCAAACAGCATGTGGAAACAATCAATGCCCACATCTTAAATAATATATAAAGGAAGAATTTTGGGGGGAGCCAAGGAAGTAAATTGTTAGTAACTGGTGATTGTTGTTGCAATCTGCAAAAATAAACAGCTAGGGGAGACATTTAGGCTGGGTCTACTCTTGCCAAGGGTAGGGGCATGGATGGTGGTGGGAGTGCACGAACAAACTAAAAAGGCTTGTCTTGGGCTCTATATAGTCTTCAGCAATTTTTCCTGGTGATTAAA